CCTACCTGGTTGCAGAATTATCTGGGTCCCAGTAAAGTTGTAAAACTTATTTTTTTGCAATTTTGCGTCGGGTGCTGTTGTCAACATTTTACCTCCTGTAAAGCTAGCTTTTCATGTGCAGGCACCCTTTCGGATTATGGCCAAAATTTTATATTCGAACCAAAAAAATCTTCTTTTTTTTTACAATTGTGAAGCTCACATAGTCCACTTCATCATGCTTATACCAATTTTAGTACAGTTTTATTTTTATAATTTCTTTACATACCATTATACAGGGGTTAGCCATATAACAAAAATATCACTCATGTCCACAACCCTCTACTTTATACTGCTACCGTATGATATCAAACATCAACAATACCAAAATATATTTTAATGTCTTCTGTATATTTTATAACTGTTTACCTCGCTAATCAGTACTTAGTCAGTTAAAATAGGACAACGTTTTGATCGGCAGTAGTCCGTCATCGTCTTGATTGCAGTCCCGTTAAAGGTTTCGCTGTAGAAGGGACGGTACAACTTCCCTTTTCCCTACTAAAAGTGTGTTCATGTTGGTGGAAACACGTCTTTCAGTGGTAGATACACCAAGATCAGTGACGAAGAGGTTTCTTTAATTACTGATCGGAGATTCATAAGATCATCACTGTCCTTCCAACAAGTATATGAAAATTCAACACTAGGAAAAGCAATGCCAATCATTATTATAGGATACATTCATTAGCACATGATGTGACGTTGCATAACTATATCAAATGTTGACTAATATGTTACTAAAGGTCAAAGGTCAATTTGATAATCAAACAGCAATTAATAGGAAAATTGTGAAAAATAAATTGGACACTATTCCTAAATTAAAAGTTCGCGTTTAAGCACGCCCTATATCAAATTGCGACTTGTTCGCTAGCGGACTTCCCTGATATCTATGTCTCTAACAACAATACCAATCTGAATCATTGCCAGAGTATTACATTTCCAACCTCATGGAAATAATTCAAGTACATTTTACTAGGTAATAAAATGACACCACTGTCGGTTACAAGAACAAAGTTGAACTCACGTTTGAAGTTCCATTCATTTCAATGTAGTGACACAATCATCCTGAAAACACATGGTGTAACAGATTTCTGTTCCATTTAGATAACATGTTATCTTGTCTCAGTAACAGCTTTATTTGTACAACTAACACATTTGCCTGCCGACAGGGTTATTGTTCCACTCTAACACTATCAAAGCAATCTCTATCACGCCGCAGAGATCATGTCTCTGTGCTAGGTATGTAATGTTACAGTAAAACGTTGTTAATGTTATTAATGATTATGACGCTTTCGCTTTAACATTTGTTTCTGGAACATTGTTGTTATTTTCTCTGCGATATTCAATTGGTGAGAGCAAGATTGAAGTTAAGCTTCACGATTACAATTCCACCGCTTCCCAAATCCACGGTGGTGTTTAAATGATTCAGTGTTCAAGAGTTTGCTCGGAATAATAAAAAGATAAACAGGCAATGGACAATATTCTATGAATATATCACTGTAGCTATACATTTCATAGCGCATAGGTACATGTCATATACAAGGGTTTCATTTGTAGCCAGTAGCCGGTAAAATTGCCTACAGTGTTTCCAATGATGCCTATTTAAGAAGAGTTTAGTCATCATGATCTCTTCGAGACATGCTCTACTACTAAGTGCGATATGAAAGTCAGTATTTTTATTATGCTCAAAAGTGTGTCCTATTATTGCGTATTGCTATGCATGCTTTAAATATAAGATTTGGCCTTATAATTGGTGTGTACTATACGTTACAATAAAATATTTGGCACTTTTAACAGTGTAAGGATATATTTATCGGGAGCCGTAAGATAGTCTTACGAAATCCTTGCGAGACACTTACGGGAGACTGCCAGGTAGGTTCCGATGAGTTTGGGTCAGAAAAAATCGGGGTGACACTGGCAACTTTTTTCTCCGCGCTAAACGTTCACGGCGACCCGTGCAGCATATAAAAATCGGCCAGTAGTGGCCTATAATTTCCCTGCGTCTTAACGGTTCCCCGGTAAAAAGGAATATCTGTGATCTTTGCCTGTGCATAGGTTTGTACCCATGCATTAGCAATTCTGAATCGTTGTTAATGCATACCTTTTTCAATGCCCAGGAAATACGTCAGCTACTAGGAAATAAAATGACACAACTGTCGGTTAAATAATAAAAAAATAGCTGTCTTCAACGTTTGAAGTCTTTGTAGCGGTACAAACATCAAGAAAACACACGATGTATCAAAATTTGCTCCATATAGATAACCTTTTACCTCATCCAAGCAACAACTATATTTGTTCAACTGAAACATTTGTGTGCCGAATAGGGTCATTTTGTCACTCTAACACTGTCAAAGCGGTTTCTGGAACGCCGCGGAGAACATGTTTCCTTGCAAGGTATGTAATGGTCCATTAAAACATTACTTATTTAACTGATGATTATGATACTTAGGTTTAACGTTTTTTTCTTTGCATGTTATTTGTAATGTGAGAACAAAAATGCCGTTTAAGGATTTTGGCCTTGATATTGTACTTTTGTACAAATAGGCGAAACCTGTAATACATTAAAATAAATACCGAATCATCCATCAACGCGTGTTAAGAAGTGTCCCGTTACTTATAGGCAATCAAAGGTTACCGCTCCTTACTGGTGAGAATGTTAATGACCTTATCGGTCACGTGGTACTTCTGATATCATAGTTGCGGGTTAGTGTCACTGGTCCTAGTAACAGTATCTAGGGTTCAGGAGCAACACCCCTCCTATATATTTCTGATTTGTATCAATGGACACGTCAAACATATGCAGTGTGATGCGTGGCAAGGACTACATATTTTATACACTCGTCCGCCGATTTAAGCAAAACACAGGACGAAGACAAATCACTATTTTCAATAAAAAAAAATGATATCGGAGGACAATCCTGATATGGCAGTCGAGTAAAAGTGAAAGTTTTACCAAACAAATCTTGCATCTGAGTAGTATGAGAGCACGTAGACATCGAACGCATACATTTAGGTTCAATTTGGTTTTGTCATAATCGCGAACGTAGATCATCTGAAATGTAGAAACACATTGCAATATAGTTGTATATCTATGTCTAGTGTCAATTAAACTGTCACCGTCACGAACAAATGTTAATAACAGTTTACAAACGTTTGTTTCATTGGAATATTGCTTTAGATACTACATCGTATATACTTTATATAATCGGGATACGAAAATGAAAATAGCCCTTCCCCACTTCATATTTTTTTTCACTTCACTTAAAATCACTAACATGCAAGTCTATTTTGTATAATTAGCAAATATATACTTGTTTCGTCCTCTCTAACGTGTATAGAAATATATGAAAAACACCGTTCTGAGACACTATTTACCTACTCCGTTCAACAACGATTCAAATACGTTTTTACAATATCTTTATAAATAATCATACAGCTTCCCCAATTGCCACTCGGTTAGAAGTAATAACCCAAATCTCAACCACAAACAAAGATTGCTTTATATTCTCGACATAGTTTTTAGAAACGAAACAGGTTCCCAAATCTCCACTCATCACTAGCTTCAAATTATACTTGAAATTCAAACTCGAAAAAGAAAAAAAGAAATTCTGCCACGCTCTTATCGGTGAGTTCACGGACTAATCTAATTCCGTGGTAATATTCAATTCAATAAGGCTTCATGAAATTTCTTGGTATTTGTTTTAAAACGCAGTGTTTATAACCAGGAACTGGATCAGCTTGGATTAAGTGGCGGTCTCAGTTGACAATATGGTAAAATTGGAAGGTTTATTCGGAAAATAGTGTGCCACATCTCACCACGAAGTCTTGGATCCGCCCGTGAAGATCTATTTTTGTTTAAAAACTGTTAAATAAATGTTCATGTTGATATTTTACACAAGCAGTGAATATGATATCAGCACCAACCATTACTACAAAAACGATAAAAATTTAGAATATCGTATATGATACACAAACATGTTTACTTTATTAACATCGTCAGTTTATGGTCAAGGGTAAAAGCCAAAGGTAAAAACGCATGTTAGATTCTGTTGAAATTGGCTATAATTCTCTCCACAACAGTTTTGCTTTCAACATTGGAGACAAAAGGAAACACCTCAGTCGCCAAACTACCTGTGTTAGGACCGGCTATACACGACCTTTGGCCATGACATTCACAGGTAACACATCTAGTTAATTAGTTCGGTCTCAATTAGTTCACCTGTTAGTTCTCAGGTAGGTTTTGTAAATGCCCTTTGACTTGGGTAATAAGTGGTAATACCTATACTATATTTAGGTCTGCAAAAAAGTGGGTAACTGTCTCACAGCTTGAAGTTACTTGGATATAAATTATGCGGGTACGGAATTAGATTTCCATGACTCGGGCTTGAATGTATAACTTCTCTTTCGGGTAAGAACATTACTGATGTCTATATTTGTCGATTGATGATTTTACCCCTACAACATATTTTAGTTGACGTCATTATTTACACTGTTATTCAGATAGTATATATATGTAAATATGTTAAGAGCATTGCAAAATGGACACACGTAATAAAAGGATATTGGATAAGTTCTGCCACTATGACGTCACACATCACGTGACCTTGTACCAAGTTCAAAATATGCATATTCAATAGGCCGAGTTGATTCAGTATTAAAGAGTTTGTCCTAACACGATTTCCATGATAGACTCGTCATTGACAACATTACAACACAGTGTTTACAATGATGCATATTGATAAAGACTGTCGCCATTATGATATCTTCGAAAAATATGCTATTACAGTATAACGCGTGCTATGTAAGTCAGTAAATTTATTATGCTTCTAAGTGTGTCTTGTTGTTGCATTATTCTTTTAACAATATGTATTTGATTTATGTTTTAGATTCAACTGGTTTTGATTGTGTTAGTATGCGCAACACGCGGACAGGGTCAATCTTTAGAATACCAGATCTTAAAAAGTGAAATGAATGCTAAAATTGAAGATCTCAGAGCCACCATGCAGTTACAGCTTGTCTCGATCAGAAGTGAAAACATGGATTTGACAAAGAAACTGCAGACTCTTGAATCCAAGTTCCAATTACACGACCAAACCTCTATGTCTGAATTAGATGCAAACAACACGGCTGTCGAATCTGTTAAAACTGCAACTGGGACGTTCTTGTCGAATTCAGGGATTGCAAGGAAGCGAGAGAACAGAGATTATCCGCATACACGGGTAGGAGGTAAGATTAGCATGAAGGACTTAACCAACACCAAAAGAGGCTAAATTTTGATTTTTGATTTTTGTTATCCTTTATTTGTTTATTATTTATTTTGTATAGAATCATGAAAAAACAAATTAATCTACACATTATATATTTAGGAAATTTGCAATTCAAATAGTTACAACCATTATGCTCCTTATCATTTCAATTATGAACTGTATTTCCTGATCTGTTCAGTTCATTCTACAAGTAGTACGCTAATTGGAATTTTAGAATAGCGGCATTATACAATTATAAGCCTATGTGTCGAAGGGCTAATAAAAACGTCTCCATGATTCAAAACTGATATTGACTTGATATACCATTTCATTTAAATGTCACATTCAATGAGGTTGCAGTTTTAAATTTACCATTTAAATAATGATCAAAGTAGTATATTAAATCACTCTAATGGTACGATTGAATTCGCATTGAGATTTAAAATGATATTTGTTCTAACCATTTGAAAATTGCAGCAAAATAGTACATTCTGGTAATACAAAGGTAGTCATTGTCTCCATCACTTAGCGACTATGAGAAAATCACGGCTTTCTAGAACTGGCAAAAATCATTTGCAACATGTTTTGAATGATAACAATATGACGGAATCTCCTATGCTGTGTTTATTAATATTCGGAGGCAGCCTAGCTCTGGCCTTACTTAAACAATCTGATTTTGTCCTAGGAACACTCAGCAAACATTTGCTTATTTTTGAATGCATATATCCAACTTACCCGTATCACACTAGTGGACTATATTTCAATTACATAATGATTGGACTTAGTAATACGAAATTGAGATTGTTGAAGAAACGAATGCTTCATCATTCTTACCTTGGTCAATTCATAGAACTGAGAATTTGATTTGTTCTAAATTGCAGCCGACGTTCATGAGATGATTGCATTCTACGCATGTCTTAGTCATGACGTTTCAAATCCCCAAAGAGACACAGTTATAAAGTTCAATCATGTTATTACCAACCTCGGTGGTGCATACAGTCCGAACACAGGTGTGTTTAGATGTCCGAAGGCCGGACTTTACGTCTTCACCTGGAGCATAACGTCACACCTACACGGTCAAGTGGATACCCTCATCAAGAAAAATGGTGGGGCGGTTGGGGCAACTCTGACTGCCAGCTTGGATGACAAAGACAGTCGTGTTGGTTCCAATAGTGTGATTCTCGAACTTGCTCAAGGCGACGAAATTGATATCTTAGTAACCTATAGTAGTGGTTCCGATTCTATTCGTAGTCTGTTTAGTTCCTTTTCTGGATACTTAATAGATTATTAATGAGATGGACCAGATAGTATTCAAGAAATTCCCTCAATTTTTGAAACAAGGGCTCTCATTTGTTTTGTGTTTCTTGTTACTAATTTTATTGAATTCGAACGATAAATCAGTGTTGTGAATTCCCCAGAAAGAAGATGTGAATTTGTTTTCAAGCTTTCATGATTTACCTCACAACGATTAAACCAATACTGATTCGAAGTGGAGATATTTAGTTAGTTTTTGATTTCGAAACTTGTTGTTCCAGGCATCAATAATGCATATTCTTTTGCTTATTTTGATTTCTGTGTACCAATAATTAGTTAGTCACAAATTATAATACAATGACAACCTCATGGGACTGTTTTTAAGTTGACGTTAGTATGGCCATGTACAAATGTGTCGAACGTAATAAACTATGCCGGAAGAGTTTTCAGTATAAAGTGCGTCATCCAGTATCATTTCTAACAATCCTATCACAATAATACCGAACATTCATTACTACAACAAGAACATATTTATCTGATTTCTTTAATATAGAGGGATTATCACCACTATTATTTTCAGTTTTAATATAAGTTAGCATTTTCTTGGAGATAATATATGGATTTACCTAAAAAAGATGAATTTCTTATCTATGATAAGTGACTTTTGCCCTGCTTATAACCTTATCTTTCTATATTATTTATGTAACACTTGTGACTGCAGCAATGTTATAAGATGATGCATTTTATAACCAACCTCCTGTAGATATGAATCCAGTGACTGCTATATACATTTATGAATTCATATACAAATATTGCAGGTTTTTTTTTAAAGACGAATGTGTTTAATGTTCAACAAGTCCTCCGACATCACAGTTGTAACATCAGGCTTCGTTCTCATTTTGTTATATTTACATGTGCGCTGCCACCCACTATATGAACATTACTAGCAGGTAAAATATCTCGTGACGTAACACGTGGTTTACTTACTCTTGACGTCACAGATTAACCTTAATCGATGAGAGTCTTGTCGCCTCACCTCGGAAAACATGGAGAATGCCTCTACGCCAAACGCTAAAATGACTACTGTCAGTTATTTGCGCCAATTTCATTAAAATAGGTCTATTCCGCCAAGAGCGAAGCATATACAAAACGCAGTAAATAAATTGATTATGTAAGAACATGTAAACATGTAGCGGGCTTTATGCAATATAGATGTTACCGTTTTGCCTTCATACCGGCATGAAAATTAAAAATACCCCGTTCAATACATATTTATTGTAGTATAATGTACAATGAAGTACCTGTAGCTGTCCATTGTTGTGTTTAATAATGACCATGCATGGTTCATAATGCATACACACACAGGACACGTTTTTCAAAAGCTGTGCGTTCTTTACACAAAGTGTGGCCTTTATTAATGCAAAGCGGCAATGTGTATTGAGTGAGAGAACATCCTAAAACTGTATTATCTATGCGGGAATGAACAGATCGCGGTACTATAGAGACTCCAACAGTACGTTATCTCACAAAATGGACAGCTCTCGTTCTTTTTTCCATCGCATAGTCACAAAAACTGAAAATATCCCTTAAGTGATTTTACGGTCTTCCCAATATATAAACGCGAACTGAGTTTCAAAACGATCAAATAGCAAGGTTCGCAATACATTTGCCGAAACGATCTTAAATATAGATCTTTAGTAAGAAATCCGTAGAGCATTAATCAACGTTCAAGTCATTTTCAGACTACTACTGAAACCTCTTTCTTCGGTGGTTAAAAGATCTACACAATTCCCTCTCCCATTTTCCGAAACAAGTTAAGAAGGATTGAAAATCCAAATCATCCTCTCCTCATTAATGTGGTCCATACATTATGATCTACATCAATATCCGAATAGTAACTCGTGTTTGGAACCTAGGAGATCGAAAATAATAGAATTACTTCCCTTGACTCACGATAAACTTTATTCAAATCAGACATATGAGGTAAATCGGGATCTTGGATTATTCAAATTGTGGTAATTATAAGTTATCTGTGTTTAATAAATTTTGATTAACATGAATGGTACATCAAAGATGAAGAGTTAATAGATATAATGGACACACTCCTAGATAAATTAAACTGTGAAGAGTTTATATGGAGGAAGGTACACAAATCAACGACAAAACGAAACTGAACATTGGTACGATATGACAACAGCAGGAATCTCAAAGACATCAAGACAAAAGGAAAGGCACAATTTGATACACTTATTGGATACAATTGGACATTGGCATTGCTAAAATCATAAAATTCCGATTTTATTAATAGGAACTTATATCATCGTATATCATTTCAATACCTTTCCGGTCTTAGTCCAGTTTTGTCTTGAAGATTTTATTACAAAGTCGTTATATATATATGCACAAAAAAATAAGTTTTTTTTTATATATCTATATTTGAAAGGGGAAGTTGTTGTTTTTCAGTGGCAATGAGTGCGTCTGGATAAAGTTAGCTCAAACAGTCCCTCCACCATATTTACATCGAATAGCCCTATCTTAGTCTTGAATATATTTGTTATTTATCGGCACAAGCCCTATACAATTAAGTAGGGAGCTTTCATCGGCAACATCTCTCGCTGTAGTCTAGAAAGCAGCTCTGCAGATCTTCTTTTGACGTTTAATTTGTCATTCAAATATACATAATGACTGTATTATGACATGCACAATGCTTTAGGCTTTGGTTGTCGCTTGTTGAATATGCATTGAAAATCACAAACTTTGGTTAACAAAACCCAATGTCATCTTTAATGTAGTGTAATAAAGTCATGCTTGTGTAATGTGATCTTATTTGTATGTAATGTTATCATGAATCGTACGAAAAAATAGGTATTCTTGTAGGAGTAACATTTCCGGCACCACATGTGGTATCCGTCAAGATATATGTCTCGTCAAGTTATTATCGTGCATGTTCGCATGTCATCAGCGATGTAACACACAGGGAACAAGACTTTAATCATGGTATGGAATGTGAAGGAAGATAATTTACTCTAATTCAAGGCTAAGAAAATATGGAATAATCTGCTGCAGGAGAATTTGTTTTTAACCATACGCTGATCTGTCTAAAAACCGGCTAGATAAAATTAGGAAAATAGAGATTTGTCAAACTGTGATTTCAAAAATATTAGCGCTATCACGTTATGTTATCTATAGTTCTGCTAAAAAGTTCTTAATGAGCAAAATGGAAAATTGTGCAATAAACTTATACTTCATTCGGCTTTCTGTACCAACTTATTAAATACATTGAAAACATTATAGAGTGCTGTCTCAGTATGTATCAGAACATTTGTAGTTAGTATGAATCCGAATGTTAGGAGTCTCGTGTAGAAGATGTGAATTCTGTACTAGAAACACGGCATTAAATTAAATCAAAATGTAAAGCTGTTTGAACCGAGTGCATCATATGCATGACGTAGTATACATATGACATATGCATTGCGTGTGTATTATACGTGTATGCATATGATGAAACACGTAAGTGATAGCAGCGATAACTGTTAGTCTTCTTGTCCATAATTGATTCCCGTGGGGATAAGCAACGCACGTGCAAACATTGAGTGCCAAATCTTTAGTAACATTGACTATATGTATTCGACGGGAGATAACTCTTAATTGGCAAAGACCACTGATTGTGTATAAAGTTTGTGATGAACAGCACTAGGTACGATAAAAATGAAGAATTTTAAATTGTGTTGGCATGAACTCGTCTTTATCTCAAAATGTATTGGCATTAACATGCGTCTTTCCCATCCAATGCTGATCGGATCGTAACCAAAGGCATTTATAGATTTTGGCAAACCACATCTCCCTTTTTTTCCCCTGGTATCATTCAGGGAAATGACCCCTGGCAGTAAATATGAGAGCAAAATATTGAGAATAAAGTTTAAAAAAAAGGTGTTGTTTTTTTCCATTTCATATTCACAACAGGTCTCAAACTGATACGTAATATGTTGCATAGTCAGGGGGTGTAATATTTGAAATAATGAGATACCACAATTACAGTTTCCAATTTATTATAAAAATGTTGTTAGTGTTTACTAATATATGATTATCATTCATTTTTGTTTTGCTTTATGTTATTGTTTTGTTAATGCTTTTGTCTTTCTTTCAAAAAGGGTGATCGATTTCCTTGAAGATTTGACCAATTTAATGACTGTACAGCTGAATGTATCAACTCGGTATGACAGAAATCCTGTTCGCTTAGATAGAGATCAAGAAAGCAACATTTAGAAGAAAAATTAAAACAAAACAAAACATGCAGTGTTACAATTATGATTTTAATAAATCACGAATTACATTCACTGCTGGTATTTTCGATTGTTCATCTCCGAAACACAGCTAATACACACAGTGCGATTTTCCTGGTTACGATGACAAGTGACAGAATATTTAGGCAGGGTTTACACCTTTGTAATATTCCTCGCACCATCAAAGTTTACGCTTAACTTAAGGTCATTGTTAATCATTTAAAAACAAATAAGGTAAATGAGATATTAAGATGAACAGCTAAATATTGAAAATACAAATAATTTTCTATTACATATACCAAGTATGAATTTTAACAATACACTATCAGTTCTTTGGATATCTATTATCGATATTAATAACAGGAAGATATCATATACAAAAGCCTTCATGTAGATCAGAAAAATAAAAACAAATTCTATCAGAAGTTACAAGTTTTTTTGTGATAGACATTCTTAACATGCATTTTTGTTGCAATAGATATTAATACGAAAGCACTAAAAATCAGAAAAATATTTTGATATTGTCTTGAAGGGCTGACGTTTTTGCTTTTTTTTTGCTTTTTTGCAAACAAGTACAGCCGAATGTATCCATTCCTTTTATAGCAACAACTGCAAAAAATAAAAGGAATGGAAGTCGGCAATTCATTTGTTAATTCATTTCATTTCCATGAATGTTAAAATTAGCAACATCAATATATACATTGCATACCGGAATTAAATGTATGACGACTATTTGTTATCACAATACGTGTCTGTACCTCTTATTGTAGCAGTTCCACTGTAGGAACTTATCTTCTTATTTTCATCAGAAATATACGATCATGTAAACAAATGAGCACTTATAAAGCACTTAGCTGGACACTCTTGCAGGGCACAGATACAAATCCAAACTGCTGATTTTATCAGCAACGTCCGTCATTCTGAGTGAAGAACATGTATGCAAGGGTCACGATTGTATATATAAACCTAAGCTATTATTCACCACTCTGCCAGGGTTTACATTTGCACGCTTTGACGGGGAATGAACATGACGCTTTACAAGATAAAACCTCGTTTCCAAACCCTTGACGATGTCCTTGTAGCAGCGATGATACACAAGGTCAGGTAACGAGATTACATGTATGCATGACTATGTACGTATGTTATTGTGAAGAAGCGATATCTAATGTTCAAGGTCAAAAGGTCAGAAAAAGGTAACCACCATCCAAGTCTCATAGACAATGTCAAAATTCCATTCTAATTAATAAGAAACGTTGACCTTCAAACGTGAATGAGATGGAGACGTTGAATTGTCCACGCACTACCGAATGATTTGCTCACCTCGACCTTCCAGCGTAGCATTGTATAAGTGTCCTTGACCTTCTAATGCCTCAGAGTAGGATGTGCATGATTCCCATGGAATGGTTGTAAAAGCTGAATAAAGCTTGTTTCATTATCCTTATCGACATCAGTTGAAATCCTTTACTTTTTACACACCATCTTTACAAATTCTGAAATGAAACACAATCTGATGATAACATATAAACTCTCGTTACCACAAACAAATAAAGGTCATATTGAATCCTAGGATTTACCAGCGAAATAATTGGAAAATCTGAAGCACCAGCCTTGTGTTATATAGAATAGTTTAAATTATACGATATCGATAGAAACATAAGTTTATGGTACGAGCGAACATGGAAACGTATACCCTGCCAAAGACCTGCAAACATAAATACATTGTTCTAAGCAATTTAGCTTATGTACTGCACTATATCACAGATATCCCTGTCCTACAGTGAATAGGTCAGTTCAATTTTCATATAGTTTCCCATATGAATACCTCATATAATAACATAGATCTGTATTAACGACAACTTTTTCATGCTCAAGCATGGATACTGTGCTCTAGTCATAATTTTTGTAAATCGCTTAAATCATGTGACAAAGTTAAAATGTCAGATGTAAACGCTGTAAACGACGTTCAGCGTTGATTACATTTCAAGTAAATGACAAAACCGTTAAGCTACAGCATCATCGGAACAAGGAAAATGGCCTTGAGCACAGGAATCTGAGTTTGGGTATCAGTACGGCTGCCAATAAGACATAAGTTAAGTGAGTTTCGATTGGCTGACGTGTCCATGTCTGCCAAAATTGTAACTTCATTGTCCGAAAGTACATCAGATTTGTCAATGATATGCTAAGACTCCATCGTCAATTAAATGAAGGTAAAGTGATTAAAAAGGGGACATACATTCGTTTCAATATCTTTTGATTTGTGTTAATTCTCATCTTAAGGACACATTTAATGAAACAAATAGAAAATGTAATGGTTTCGTCATTGGATAGCAAATTACGACCTTCGTTTTCCAAGCACTTGCGAAAATATCGCATTTCTGCCGATATTTAACGGAAAACCATGAAATATTCTCTATAAATGAGAGATATTACTATTGATGACCCATTCTTACCTTCATAATTCACTTGTCCGTCTCCATCAATGTCAGCCTCCTTGATCATTTCATCCACCTCGTCCTCCGAAAGACGCTCACCCAGGTTGGTCATAACGTACCTCAGCTCCGATGAACTGATATTGCCATTTCCGTCTTTATCAAACACTTTAAATGCGTCCCGCATTTCCGTTTCTGGGTCAATGTTTTTCATAAACCGAATCATCATTTCCACGAACTCATCGAAGTCTACCGTTCCACTGCCTGTGTAGAAGAAAATTGTAGGAAATGTGAAAATGTTCAATTATATGTGAGAAATTAACATAAACCGATTTTTTTCGCAATAAATCAGAGAAATTGACACAGGTGTATCTGCATTCGTAAAATATATAACACAAAAGGTTAGTTGTTAAAACTCAAACAGTACTTGATGATATTCCTTAAACTAGCTTCCATTAATATTTAGTTTCATAAGCAAGATGACCTTTCAGTACAATACGCCACAGTGCCATATTACAATGACAAAATCCGATATTCTTCTTACATCTCATCCTATCAGTGTTATACTGAGCTGAATTTAGAAAACAACCACTTCCGAAATAAGCCTGAGTTTCGGAAACATAGCACTTTTGAACTTAACATAGATTTGAACTTGGCCCCGAATCACAAATTATGATTAGTATATCAATCCACAGAAGTTTGGCGACTTTGTCGTAAAATGAAACAAAACACCGGTACCAAACGAAAACTCAAAGTGCAGAAATTTGATGTTTTGATAAAAACGTCAACGCACGGGTACGTTTGGAACGCAACGTGAATATCAATAGGGCTTTGCTTATTCGAAAATCTGTATGTCAATCATGTAACTATGTTTACGGACAAGTTCTTACATGATGTACATCTACATTTCCGTTGTAAAGTCCTTAGTTTAACTTCACAACCAAATGCATCATTTTGACATCAATGATGACATGCAACACCGTTCCGTGCAAGCATATTCTCAAAGAAGATTCTCTAACGCGCGTCATGGAATATATTTGAACTATCTGTACTGTGTTCTTTCATTAAACTTAAAAGATGGACTTCAGTCTTAAAATACCGAAGATCTATCCCATTATTACCGTCGTTATCGGCGTCGTGTATGATTTTGTAGAGGTCTTCGTCTGTTGGCGCCTGTCCTAGTGACCGCATCACTGTCCCCAGTTCTGTACTGTTGATGTGACCGTCACCATTCTTGTCAAACATTGAAAACGCTTCCCGCCATTCTTAAAAAGACAAATATTGCCACTTCTCGTAAATTATTGAGCATGTTGGCTTAAAAGTTTAGTTTGTTCTTCAGAACATTAAGCTAATATCTTCAATTTATATCACATGCGGCTTCTTTAAGAAAACATAACATAACTGTTACATGACTATATTCAACAACAATTATGATGAAAGCATAATATAAGTTTACAAAGAAATGCATTTCGTTCATTAAAGTTCAAGTATAGATTTTCACTTATGCTTTGAAATAAAAAAACAAAACATAGAGTTAGGATTGTAATGAAAGTATCTTACTCTCATAAGCTTACCTCTCAGTGTTTCATCCGTCACTTTGTCTGCCTGCAATTAAAAGAAGAAGCTTCAACAATAATGTTACCTCAAACTCAAACAGGACTGCCGAATAATGCTCACCAGGGAGTCCCTTTATCAATTTCTGTACTGCACAATATCATCTTTCCTTCCTGTCTATGATTATACACAAATAAATTATCTACAAGCACCGCCTATGAAATAAATGAAAATCAACGTTAACGTTGCATCGATTTTTGTATCGGTTTTTGAAATTTCAAATAATTTATGGTGAATCACAACCCTTGTACAATGAGGACATCGTACTTCACAACGGAGTTTAAGACAGGGCCTCTCAATCCTGGTAGTCCCTAGCATTTCATTGTATGTTTTATGTGTGTATGCTTTTGACGTATTCATATGTATATAGTGGCTTTTGCTGATTAATAAAATATGGCTTTTAATCAAAACCGTTTTGAAAATGTATTCTACTAGTTCTTCAAACTATTCAATTTAAGATTTCCAACAACTTATTTGTGAAAATTCACATGTCTACAGTTACAACAAATTCATTATGTAAGTGTATACTTTAAAGCCCCCAAAACAGCTATAACTGTATACAGAAATAGTTTACAGTTAAATAACATACCGAAAAAGTCAAAAAGATAATACCATATTAATATAATGTAAAGTAATAGACAAATATGATATTATCTAGTTTGTGTCTTTATGAATGATCATCTATTACAAATTCTGAGATTCCTCAAAATCATGTAATGATATCGATGTGACAAAGGCTAAGGTTATTTCCTGTTAATATTTTTAGAAAGGCCATAAAATAGGTTTAAGTTAACGCTCACTATTGGCTTCATTTAGATACTTGATTATCTTAAACAGCATTTTACTCTTCATCCTTACGAACGACAGGAGAAAAAAATAATCCTAACATTCGAATGTTTTATAGAGCCGATAGCTCTGTAACATTCCTGCACATATTACCATACATAGTATGCATGTAAATGTACTTTTCCCTGGGCACCACAGGTTGGGTATAACCATACTAGCTACATGAATTAACTCCTGCTTTTTGAAAATTTTACAAACAGTCATAATATGACCTAGCGTTGGTGTGACCCTACCAGTAAAGAAAATATCTATTTGCTGGAATTGGCTTTTGAACTTCATTATATTTTATTAGTGGATGACCAATATGTGACACATGGACTTTGTATGGCCTGTATCTGTTGGGGAGATAAAGCCAAATCTACCAAATATATCTGTTTTAATTATTTCCATTATATATATAAAAAAAAAAACAAGTGTAGCTACAGCTAAGGTAAATGTATCTTTTTTTGCAAAACTTGTTTCTTACTAGTCCTTAATTATAACGGAAACTATCTTTACACAACACTATTATATCATCATCTTCGGAGGAGTTACTTCCTCTTTGTGTATGTAAACAATGTGGTCACCACTAGATGTAGCTGTAAGGAGAGGACTTATACAGGCAATGTCTGATGTCCAATCCTGTTGACTTCTCTTGTCAATAAAATTTGTTGAAATTGAAATATTACCGTGTTCACCTTTGTCACTATCACCGGATCAAATGTCCCTTTAGAACTTTTTTCAACATTTTTTCTTACAATATTCACAGCCGTTTATGATTCAAACCCATTACAAATCACGAGGCCTGTGGACACCTGAATAAATTACATACCTAGCATGCCCTACCATCAGGCCATGATGCTGTACTGTATTTAGATGGGGTTTGTAGATACCGCTAATTTATGCTTGTGTGTGGGTGAGTGTGTGTGAAGTTTCAAAAATGTAGAATGTATAAATATGAGTCTGATGTTATTTAATGTGTTATACAGTGACCCAACACAAAAAAATCGGCCATGATCAGCGATGTGTAGCTTAGGACGTATCGATGTCATACAGCCATGAGTCGTACGCCATATATTGGCACAGCATCAAACTAAGCCCAACTCAGTCGTTTTCGGCGTCTCTTAAAGTACTGGACAGCGTGATTGAATGACGGAAGGTAGCAGCAAGACGTCCATGTCAACATGTGTATGAATTAAACATGCATTTCCATCTATAATAACCATTTCTGCGTTCAGCGTTTCCGAGTAGGTAACACATTGGAACAAAACGCATAAGGATAGTTAGTTTACTGCATAACATTAACATCGTCAGCTGTTTATCAATTTTGCTGGCATTTGAATCTCAGCACAAAATTGACCTGTACAATGGACCTAAGCTGTGTACTGTCATCGTGACAACGTAATTGGCAAAAGAACTTGCTAAGCACCACCAGATTCTAGTAAAGGTTCAGCGGAACATTCATGAAAGGACGACAGAAGTAAGGCAGAAGCTGGCAGAACATGGGACACAGAGAGGATATATTTATAACTATACCTACTAGAGACCAGACGATGTTTGACTAATCGCTAGCCTCTGCTGTGAGCGTGTGTAGTGTCTATGCCGACGTGTGTAATTGACAATACATTCATTACCGACACATGTACTTAGTTACCGCAATGTTTTACTACTTTCTCCTCCCCTCCCCTCCTCCTCCTTCCCTTCCTCCTCTGGTTCTAACACGATGGTGATGAGAACATGGTAGCTAATAACACTGCAGCTGTCTAACCAAGCGGAGGACGTAGGGGGATGATTTGTGAGGAAATGACAAACAGGAGAAGGATTTATCAACCTGTCACAGACACGCGAAGCATGGTTTTCATGTACAAAATACACGGCAATTACGTGGTATGCAGCAACGCAAGAGAACGAAAATAACAAATCACTACTGTGCGTCTTCGTAAAGGATGCATTACCCATGCATGCTATTGATGTCATCATTTTTACATTTTGTATAAAAACCTTTTGTGAGAGCTAATGAATAACTCATCAAACATGTAACCTAACTCTATGACACGGATCCATTTACGCTTTACAACCCCTTTATAATATATAGATATTGTACATGTGTTGCGCAGCCGTCGTTCGCTGTTCATGACCATAAACTGGCATTTAGTATATCATAATACACATGATTTTCTATAAGTGTTTTGATTCATTATAGCCTTTTCCGAGGTGAGGCTGTTTTTTATTGTTTTTTTATGGGAATCAAACCCTTTACTTCCAATTCTATTAAAATATGCAAGTTACAGTATAGGGGAGGGCTTGTGTGTAACAAAATTCTACCAACTCCTGTTGCTTCATAGAAGCAATATATTTTATTTGGTGAAAATTCGCTTTTGCTTTATTGGTCCTATCATCAACTTTGCAAATTATTACTTCCGCGTTATCCCGGTTTAAGAAAATATGTTGTATATGCGGTCTTCAAATTATTTTTTTAAATACTACATTCATATCGGAGTTAAAAAGTAAATCGATTGCAGGGTTGCATTTTACAAGTAAATGTATCTTAATCCATCCATAGAAATAGGGCCACAATCAATAAAACACTCAATCATTAGATCTATATTTTCAGGAAAGTCTTTAATGTATATAGACACTTAATTTGTTTGCGTATGCAAAGCATGTTTTCTGTATAAAAATTATCTGTATTGAAATATAGTTATTATACCATGCAATTCATCAAACCATGCAATATTGGTAACGTTTAATCGTTTGTAGCACAGTTTCATGCATTGGTACAAATAAAATAGTATTTTGGAAGGTGTAATGTCCTGATGACGTCAGTCTGAAACATAACAGTACATTGTCCTTATACACATGAACATTGTACAAATGTCATGAAATGTTCGTCTTGATATTCTAAAAAAAAAGATTGGACGTCATAACGATAAACGTAAGTAACACATAGGCGATCGCAACTTGAAAAAAGTAGTAATCTTTGGTATGCCAAAAATAAGTTACACTTTACCATACAGATGTGTTGTTCTTCTACGACTCGCCATTGATGTAACGGGGCCATAAAAGTGCAAATCAAAATTGGTCTTATCTACCGTTAAAACAGATTGGCATGTGTGCAAAACCCCTAACTATAAGATTTAAAAAAAAAAAAAATGATAATTGGTTAATAGTAAATTGATAATGAATGAAATAAGTTCATAAAAAGGCTGCATTATTCAACGAGATAATTAATTCATTGTGGCAACCAGAAGTGAATATCATAATGAACCCTACCACTACTCAAAGGAGATAGCTCTGGTCATCAAGGTTAAGACAAGATGTGGGACTAAGAAATAGTTAGTGTACCTTGTATCACGAAAGATGAGGGTAATACACACATACGGTTACGACACCTTAGGGAGTCGCACAACGGTGGTCTGCATGGAAGGCCGAAGTGCTATCCAATCGGACATGTTTGAATATAATTCATCATATTATCACGACTACGTTATCGTTGTAACCAACATAGCGTGTGTGCTTCCAAAAAAAAAGCATCAGTGGGCACTTTTACATTGTATCCTTAGTGTTCAACTCCAAGTATACTGGTTGGAGTATGATATGGTCTGTATTGGTAATTACTGTACTGACGAATTCAACTATCAACTGATAGAGTACTTTAAGTAAGCTGTTGGAAATACAGACTCACAACAACAATAACACCTACACAGCCTCAAACCTACCTGATGTTACCAAAAAGGGGGTAAAATGGAGTAAGAAGTAAAGCTGTTCCAGCACTGTATTGAATAGATATGTCTGCCATCCCTCCATGGTGATGCACCTTAGAATATTTTGCTTAAGTTTTAGATAGTTAGCGTGCTATACCGATATCCTATGATATGATATGGTATTAAGACAATTTCAGTTTAAAAGCTTGAAAGGTCAAAACAATTTTAGATGGCAATACCCTTTGCTAAATTAAATACAATTAAAATACTAAATGACCAAATTGTTAATGACATTTGGTATGACCCCCTAACCTCTTCTATGACCTCTTTTATCTCTGGTATGATCTCTTAATCTTTGACCTTGAGTATGAATATGTGAAAAAAGGTTTAGCTTCCTTTCAATGGTAATATAATATTACAAGATACGCTGAAGAATGTTTGGGCTTAACAATTATATTCATT